CAAAATACCAACAGTTTGTGAGATGGAAGAATTCAAATGTAACCATAGCTGTCTTAAATGCCTTTTGACTTTGGTAGAGAAAGAGAACATCAGGAAGGAAAACACATGATTAGAAGCTTAGAATTACGAGCAGAGAGGAAGGATATTTACATACATATTTAGAATACATTCTAAAAGTTTTCCTGTTCTTACAAGCCATCTTTCAAAATGCTAGCAACTGTTATTATTGAAAACATGAAGGCCTTAAAATGAGGTAACAGATCTTTGGAGGATTGATTGTAGGATTTTTCATCGTAGACTATGAATATTATATTATGATTGGTAATATTTTTAGAATAGGTGCAAATTCTCTCTTTTGTTCTTTAGGGACAGTTAATATGGAACAGCTATACAAAATAGCAGATAAGTTTGTAATAATTTTAAGTTAAGAAATATACCTAATTATTACCTTCATTTTGTTATCCCTCTTTACCAAATGCCATGGAGCTGAAGCTGAGCAAAGCCGTAGTCTTTTGTATTTCCACAAGTGATTAATAACTCCTGGCCTGAAATTCCTATAAGTGATTTTATGTTTGAAATTTAATACTGATGAAGTATCAAATGGTTTTGGTAATATGGCTTAATATGGCCACTTTCCAATTATCAGCAGCTTTGAAGAGGCCAGCTCCAGACATGGCTTTCTCTTCTTTCAGATGTTTTTCTTCAGTGTGGGTAGCTTATGTTCCTCTATAAATAAGCTCTTTATAGAAGCAAGCAAGAAGAGGTCTTCTACTAATCTCTTGTTTCAATTTTTTAAATAATGAAAGAATTTCACTATTGAGGTAGATAAGGTCTTTTTTAACAAGTATACTGTAGACAATAAAGAGTTCTCTATCCTGGGTCATGTTGGGTCAGTGGGTCACTGTTACATGGAACAGACAGCCACAGATCCTTTCCTTTTAAAGGAGATGCAAAAATATGTACATCAGGAAGGATCAAACTTAAAGAAAGGCCTGAAAAAAAGGAAGTGAAATGGAAAAAAATGAGGGGGAAGTTGGGGCCGGAAGGACCTCACTTCAGAAAGCTAAAGGTATAGTTGTCTGGGAAAGGCAGGTAGGTTTCAGGATACTTTGTTACATATTAGAGAATGTGACTGGTGGTTTAGCAGCTTCACCAGCTGGTTTGCAGCAGCAGTCCATCCAAGGAAGTAAAAATAGTTACTTAGCTTCTCTGCCAGTTCACATTTAGGCTTGAAAGCAATTAATTGCAAGGGACTCAATTGCATTCAGTCAGTCATTTCTTTTGGACTTGGAAAAAACAAGAGAAACAGGACCAGAAATAGTCCTCTGATTGTAAAATGCTGTACACACAGGATTTAATGTGGCAAATGCAATACTTCAAGCCTTCATCTGTATGAATATCAGATGACTGAGTTGAAAACTTTGGGAAAAAAAAGAAGTCACAGCAGTCATGGTCCTCAAAAGCAGTCCTTGATCTGTCTACAAAATACAACTTTTTTTTCTGGAGTTTACACTGGATGTTTGTTATAGCTACAGCATTTATACTGAGTAACTAAGGCTATGTCAGTCTTTCTATTCTGACCTGAGTTTGGCAGCTTACTCCAGGCTGAAACTTATTGTACAGGAGCAAGATTTATTCTTTGCAATGCACAAGGAATAGGCTGTGTTTCTCTATGTGAGAACAGCACATTCACCACTGTGTTTTGGTACTCATTGTATTGAGGGTTTTGGTTTTTTTACATCTCAGTTTGGGTGTGACTTGTTTTAAAATCAGCAATAATATAAAGAAGAGCTAGTATAGAAACAGTTTTTAAAGATAAATCCTAGAAAAACAGTAAACAAATATTCAACAGCAAAAAGATGCAAAATAAAAGCACTGTTAGAAAAGAATGTTAGGGGTAGAGAGCGAAGAGCTTGGAACTGCGAAGTTTGCCAAGGAACACTAACATTCATGATCTAGTCTAATTTCTTTCCCAGGCTGGACCCGCCAGTGAAGTGATTTTTCAATTTAGAAGCATCTGTAGTCCATCTTGTTTTTCCTTCCCCACCATCAGCTTGATTGCAGGGTATTAGCATACAGTTATGTACAGTGCACTTCTGTTATTACAACTGACATCTAGTAGGAGTAGCACTACTTCCTGCTTGCTCCTCCTCCAAATGCTGAGAAAACTCTCTCCTTTCTAGCTCTCCTTTCCTGATAAGAAGGCAAAGGGAAAATGCTTAGGACGGAAACTTTTTCAAGTGCTCATCACTAGAATTCTGGAATAAATTCCTATACTTTACAATAGCCCTTTTTGTCACTTTTGCAATGAAGAGAATACATCCTACAAGATATGACTCGGAACATTCCTGGAACGTAACACCTTCAGTTCTCTTTTTACTTAAAATTTGCCCATGGCAGAGGGATTGGAACTAGGTGATTTTAAGGTCCCTTCTGACCTAAGCTATTCTATGATTCTAAGAGTAATTGAAAAAAGGCTGATCTTTTGTATTATTGAAGAAAAAAATACCCCAAAGCTACAATCATTTCCCCACTTTAAAGTGTTTCTTTCTGCTTTCTAAGAAATAATTGTTTCAAAATACTTTAACAGCCTCTGATGTACAATTGTGAAAAGAATAAAAGTTTACTGTCTGTATTCCTCCTTTTCACTTTGTCAATGTATCAGTGGGTTTTAGGGTCAGTAGAAAACTGATGAGGCCAGCAGGAGGTTTGAAGCTAATGTGATGCTATATTCCTAAAATCCTCTTCCTAATCATGTTCTTAGGAAAATGAGTTAAGCATAAAGTGTGTGCACAAGTGTATCTGTTTTACATATTTGACTAGGCTTGTTTCCTTAATTATTTATTTACATAGAATAAAACAACAACAACAAAAAAAAAACCAGCAAAAAAACAAACAACAACAACAAAAACAACACCTTTCTAATAGGAGAATTGATTTGTTTATCACTTAAGAAGAACAAACAGCAGTAGTTTAATTCACAGTCAGATAACAGATTAGTTTGCAAAGCCACTGTGCAATGAGAGATGCTTAGGTTTAAATGCATCCCTCCTCCCTACATCTCTACACCTCTGTTAGAGAAATCCATACTTGCAACTTGTTGCAATTTAATATTGTGATTACGAACACAAGCAACTGTTAAAATATTTCCTTCATTCTTGGACTGACAATTACTCCCATCTCTGAATAGTTTGCATTACTAACAACAGAATTTTTCTGAGTTGCAAAATAAGAGGCTGAATTCTTTTTTAAAATTGAAACAACAATTAGAAAAGCAGTAGTATGTTAGGCCACTTGCATACAGTCCTACTTGCTTGTTGCTAGGTTCTAGCTTGTCAGCAAAGTGTAATGTTTTTGAATGTAAGTAAGCAACTAACAGCAATCTGAAGATGAAAGAATTAACTGAATGGAACCTTGAACAAATTCACACTACCTTCATTGCCCACTGGAAATAATAACCACTGTATTTTATTATTTTTTTTAATAGATCCTTTATGTTCTTCTTCCTTCATTTCTTCATATGTACATCAAGGAGACAACCATTTCTATTTGGAAATGTAGGGTGTAAAATATAAGTGGGGCTGTTAACAACGCTTGTATTTTATTTTTTAGCTGACAAAACAGCATGCATTGTTTTATTTAATTAGAATTCAAGTAAACTATTATAGAATACTTATCCAGAACTCATAGAGTAACTGAAAGAAAATAAAAAAACATGAATAAAAATTGGCATAAATAATGAGGATCTTTAAGTATAGTTCACAATTATTAGTAAATACATTACCCTTTTCACATTCCTATTTCTTAGATACTTTCCAAGCAATAACTCCTCTGTACACAATGCTATAATAGCTCTCGGCTATGAAAACAGTCTATTTACTGAATGAAATCTAAGTTCAAATGTAGAAATGCACATAAAAGGACAAATGCTCATTTTTTAAACAATTCCATGAAGATAAGATTAAAGAAAAAAAGACTTGCTGCATCTTCATCTTAACTTTCAACGTTACAGATAAAGAGTATTATCTGCCACATCACAGTATCATTCTGTTATTCTTTGATCTAATATTTAGCATTGTTTCTGGATGTATGATCATGTGATTCCTACTTTCTACATGGCAACTAATGTAGAAACAATCTGTCAGGACTGTCATTGAGGATCAATGCTAAATGTTACTCAGCAGGATGCAGACTGTATCTCGGTGGGTGTCCTCCTGCTATGCTTTCATTATGTTTGTTGTAAAGAAAAGCCTACTTGCACTTACAGCACTCATATTTCACCTCCTCCATGGAAAACATATTACAACCTCTTGATTTGTACATGTTTCAACAATACAGACACTTTAGAAACTTATACGCAGCATTTTCGAAGATTCCTTCAGTATAATCTGATTATAAAGGGGTTATGTGACAGTTTGTCTCTGCTACTTATTGTGTGGCTTAAATCTCTGAGGACAAGCTGACTGCACATCCACGCAATTTAGAATGTGATGGCAGCTGTGGTTCAAAACTGTTCTGGAACAGTTCTAGGGTCTTCTGGGGAAGCACCTTGTTGTACACCAAGGTATGGGAGGATTTTATTCTACTTATTACTTCTTATAACTTCATTAGATAGTAAAACTACAGGCTGGCTACATAGGATAAAGATTTAATTAAACAGAGTGGTGATTTATTAACTTAAAGCAAGAAGGAAAATGACATTTTTTAAATACTTTTCTGCATGAATGTGAAGTAATAAGTCTACAAATAGATCTTCATCTATGAGCATTGATAAATAGATCAGGGTTGTATATACTGAGTGAAAAAAGAGGGATATTACATTGCACAGCAAGCTGATATATTGCATTTATGAAAGAATATTTCAAATAAACAATAGTAATTTCAGAGAGCATACCTAAGTTTTCTGTGTGGCAAAAACTCACCCATAACTTTCTGTTGCCTCATAGTGTTAGCTGTATTCAATAAAGTTTTGTAACACTGGTGCTCTGTTAAACTTCCAGGCATGAACGAATACATACCAGAAGACCCTACCATGTGGATGGAGCTGACAAGTACTCTCAAGATGATGATCTGGTAAATCTAGAAGTTCTTGATGAGGTACTGTATTTTCTGAGCTGCAGTTTCCAATCTCTCTGCCTTACATTTTCCCTGTTTCTGCTCTTTAGGCTTCTTTTAGCACAATGATAAGTGTTTCTTCTTGGAAGCTTTTGTTCAGCATGGAAAAGGAGTTGTCTCATAATCTATCTGCTATCACCATTTCTTTAGTAATAGTCTATTTAATAAGGTAAAAACAATAGAAGTGAATCCTATTCTGTGGAAGTGGTTAAATATGAGTGATACTGGTTTAAAATATTTTCTGAGTTTCCTAAAATGGAAAGTTTAGTAATGAAGATGTAGATTGAAGTGACTTTTCTAAAACTGATGAATGTACAGAGCATCTACAGCTTCTGAGTAAAACATGGTAAAACAACACCAGCTGCGTATTTCATTATATCACCTATGTGCAGAGTATCTGTAAATTTCTTTTCTGAGAATCCTTAACTTGCATGCCAGTAAGAAAAATACGTAATAGCAAATTATTTTAGCATCTTGTTTAAAACAGTCTCTTACTACTAGTAAAAAATGAATCATTAAAAAATTACTATCCTTGTTTCATGGTCAAATAAAAAATAAATAGAAATGTACTGTGAAGTGCAGAAGCAATCTGTTTGGCCATTTTATTTTCACAAAATTTACTTGAACTGAGGAAATAAAGTACAAGTTAATCTGGTAGTAGGATGTGACATTTAACTTAGTTTTATGGCTTTAGTGCAAAGTTTGAATTTTTTTTTTTTTTTTTTGTGATACTGGTTTTTGAGAAACAATTAGTAATACTTATTGTACAAACCTCTTAATTGATGTTCTCAGTATATTTACAAAAATCTCACTGACTGGGAAAATAGTGCTTAACAATCAAATTTTTTGTAATCTCAGGATACAATTATCCATCAGCTGCAGAAACGTTATGCTGACTTACAAATTTATACATATGTTGGAGATATTTTGATAGCCTTAAACCCTTTCCAGAATCTCAGCATTTACTCTCCACAGGTAAGAGAGGTACTGTACACTTGAAGATGTGTACAGTACTTGCTTTACATTTTGTAATAACACTACTTGCTAAAACACTCACATGATGGGAGTGCAGTTTAAACCTCAGTCTTTTCTTCCTCTAAAAACTATGTCTATAAATTGTTCTCTATTTTTACTTTTACTTTAGTCTTGTTTGATTTAATTGCTTTGTGCTTGGTGACACAAATTCCACAGGAGTGCTAAGATTGCCCCAGCCACAGCTGTTTCTCTTGTCTGGCATTTAGAGCTTTCTTCTGGATAACAGAAGATAGTTATATGAACTACCTCATGCTGAGTCTGTTGCTTTCTAAACAATTGCTCTGACTGGTTTTTATATGTCCTGTGCCATCAGTTGTGGCTTAAAAGAAATCAGTGAATTGAATGCTGTAAAGCTAGAGACAGCTGAATTCTCTATGAATATGAAGAGTGGTAGAGCTGTAAATCTTAGTCTCCATGGGTACCTAAGTCAGGGCTGCAGGCAGAGGAACAGATTCCAGCTTCTCTTTTATCTGTGCGGTTTCTTTGGTAATACCTGGATATTACCCTGCTTAAATGCTTCGGTTTGAAATTCTGTTCCTTGTGATACAGGTCTCCTCACCACGTTGTAAAAGAAATGTTGACATTGGCAGTACCAAGAATTACCACTCTTCAGTCAGAATTTTGCAATAGAACAGGCAACTACCGACTTTGTCGGTTAGCAGACAGAAGATACTCAGTATTCTTCTTTTCAGATCTTAACTGAATTGTTAAATTCTGTATTTTTACTGCTGTGTTTTTTTTTTCTTAATCTAGTTCTCCAAGCTTTACCATGGTATGAAGCGCTCATCCAATCCCCCCCACATATTTGCCTCTGCAGATGCTGCCTACCAAAGTATGGTGACATTCAGCAAAGATCAGGTAAAAATATTAATTTTGTTATAGATATCACATTAATCATAGTGCCACTTTGCTATAGATATAGCTTAAGTTCTGTTATGTTGTGCTTTGAGATTTTTTTTCTGTAAGCCTTTTATTCCTGTATATGAAAAACAGCAAAATCTAACTGGGACTTTTGAAAACGATGTAGTGACATAAAAGATCATATACAAGGTTAAGTGGGTCAAATAGAAGTGTTACCTAACCTTAGAGTATCCTGCATACCCATGAAGTGCTGGCAGTTGACAGTAGTCACAGGCTGTTGCAATACACTTTGATTCTAGCCTGTCTTGCTTTAGATATCATAATCATTTTTACCTGTGTAAAATAAGGGAGTCTCAATACTTCAGCAGGTTGACCAAGTTTGAACTGCTCTTCCATTGCGTAAAGCAGAAAGCAATTTAACAAGCAAGGAAGGAATGTAATGAGTATGCACATCCTGCAGTTATTTTAATGAGAATGAAATATTTGGCTGCAGAAGTTAGATTCCTTTTTATTACATTCTTAAAATTGTAATTTTGCAGTCTTTCTAACGTGATGTGTTGTATGTACATGAATACTGGGGCCTAATAATTGTGTGTTGTTATCTGGAGAAAAAAATCAATTTTGTCATCAGCACATGAAGCTAACTTTGTAGATTTTTAATATAAAATATCTTTCCTATCTTCTTAGGAAGTAATTTGCATTTAGATCTAAATCTTTATGCAAAGATAGCTAATAATTACTCGTAGGCATCCAGGCATGTCTGCTAGCTTATATAGTTTGCTATTTGCAATGGTTTTTATCTCCATTAACTGAGAAGTTATGCAGGTTCTTCAGGTAAAAATGGACTAGATCCCTGGTGTAGCTAGAGAAAAAATGTATTTATTCTTTTTGTTTATCCATTCAGCCTTCCCTTGTATTTTCCTTTGAAGCCTGAAAATTGACTATAGGTCTAATGTTTCTAGGGAATCTCAAGTTGTGTTCTGGCTAGTATGAGTAATGCAGGAACTCATGGGCCTTAAACTGTGTAAACTGTTATATGTGACTCCCCTGTTAAGGTAGATTAAGACAATTTCAGGTAACACAAACCTATAAATACATTGATGTTTTATTTGCTGCTTCATGTGTTATTAAAAAAAAAAAAAAAAAAAAAAAAAAAACAGCTGAAATTCCTCCATATATTCCAGGATGGAGATGGAATAATAGATAACCTTTCTGTGGGAGTGCAAAAATGTTGTCTGGAGAAATGTTATCCCTTCCAAACCATCACAAAGCTTAGTTCTGCATCAGTCATCACTGTATCAAGTATTCTAAAACCCTGCCTCTTTTCCCAGCAAAATCTTTTATATTTACTGTAGTTCAGGTAACTTCAAGCTAATCCCTGAGTTTGTAAGCCTTTGGATAACCTATAAAATACTGTGTGTTATATACAGTCTACCAAATCAAGAAGAATATGGACATGTTCTCCCAGAATCACTCAATGAACATATGCATATTTTTCTGAAATGTTTAGGTTTGTTGTTCTAGTCTGAATATCAGCATCATGTACATGATGATCTCTATGCAGCAACAAACCTTATCATAGTTTTCAGTGCTAGGAACAAACTTTTGGTTAGTGTATTAAATACAGCTTTACCTTGGTTTTCCATTAATTTATGTGAACTCATGAAATTAGCTCAAATGCACTGATAATTAAGTCACGTGAACTAGCAGTAGCAATCTTTTGATTTTTACAGGCTGTGTATGTGCATAGCATGCATTAGCTTTGTAGATAAGGTCATTCCTTTCTATGTCTTAGAGCTTAGAGTTTTACTCACTCTTTCTCATGCACTCACATTTCTGTCAGGCATTGCAAGATACAGTTTATAGAAACATAGAATAGCTTAGGTTGGAAGGGACCTCAAACCTTAATTTCAGTTATCTAAGGAATAAAAGAATGATTGCGGTGAGCCTCTACTGACCTTTCAGAAAGGACTTGACAGATCTTACTCCTAAGATATTTTACAGTCTTGGTACTAAACATTAAGTAACAGATAGGAGCAACAGATGAGAATCTATTTATTGACCATGTGGTGAACTGTACGCTTACTGTTTTGTTTGTATGTTCAGTGCATTATCATCAGTGGGGAAAGTGGTGCTGGAAAGACAGAAAGTGCTCATTTGATCGTCCAACATTTGACCTTCTTGGGAAAGGTATTTCTAGCAATTATGTAAAACAATGAATAAATGCTACCCACTCCCTAGCGTTTCCACTTTATTGAATGTTTAACATTAAAAATTGTTCTTGTGAATTAACCCACTTAAGTCAGGGATAGAGTAATCAAGCATTTGTAAGCACTGAATCATGCCATTAGGTTATGACCTGCACCAAGCCATTTCACTGTAGGAGAAAGTGACAAATTCCAAATGTTCAGTGCCTGTAGTTATCTGCAGTGTTAATGACTTATATAACATTGTTCATGTGTACAATAAAACATAACAGATCTTGCTTTGGCTCTGATCTTGGAAGCTCTTATGTTTTTAAATGTTCTGAGTAGTGTTACTACTGCAAAATAGTGTGGAAATCAAGTGTGTAAGTTTAACAAGTGTATGTGTTGGTATGATTGTTTTCTTAGGTAATATTCTTTTTGTTCAGTTTTTGGTGGCTTTGTTGCCTTAACTAAATTTTATGAAGCTTCAGAGATAAAAGAGTTGCAGAGAAGGAAGAATATGGTTTTCCTTACCTGTAGGTGTTTTCCCCTTCAGTGTATGTTTTTTATTATGTAAATAGGAAGGTTAATGGAGTATCTAACTCCATAAGAATGGGATAATGGGATATTATGCTTCTTAAGCAGCGATTGGATTGTGAGTAGGCAATATATTCTTTTAATGGTCCTTCTGATTCATATCTGTTCTGTCAAGGCCAATAATCGTGCTTTGCGTGAGAAAATTCTTCAGGTGAATCCTCTGGTTGAAGCATTTGGGAATGCCTGCACTGCCATCAATGACAACTCAAGTCGCTTCGGAAAATATCTGGAAATGATGTTCACACCCACAGGAGCTGTAATGGGGGCAAAGATTTCTGAGTATCTACTTGAAAAGTCAAGGGTTATAAAACAGGCTGTGTAGGTGCACTGATCATCTGTCCTTTCACATTTTTGTAATGTTTAGAGTGTTTAATTCCCTAAAAACTCTATTTAAGTGCTTCCAATAGTGTCTCCTGCTAAAGCAATAATCCTTTGTGCAGTACAATTAATGACAAGAATAGTTTGGTTCTTTTGGACCAAAAGCCAAACCTGTTCTGTTCTTTTTTTTTTTTTTTTTTTTTAAGAAATAATGTTATTATCTGGATTTTCTGTTTTACAGCTGAAATAGTTATCTTTGGGCTTCCATTAGTATTGGCCCTGATCGTTTGACACCTGTCTCAATGAGCTCATGATAAAGACTTTTACCTTGTACAAGGTACTGCAAATATGAGCATATGCGCTGTATAGAACGTGCTTTTCTTTTTTTTAGGGGAGAGAAAAATTTCCATATATTTTATTATATTTATGCCGGCCTTTATCATCAGAAGAAACTTTCTGAATATAGGCTTCCTGAAAAAAAGCCTCCCAGGTAACTATCAGTCACATGTTTTGACTACTCATTATAATTATCTACTGAACAGCTCTTGCTTTCAGTATGATTTCTTCAAGTCTGTCATAATCCTTCTGTATCCCTGAAGGATCTTTTTTTAATCCTCTCATGTGAAAAAAAAAGGATGGACAATAAGGAATTACAGTATTTGTATTAAAAACTTGAACCATTTAAAGAGAAGGAAGAAACATTACAGCATAAATATTTTATCATACGTTCAGATGAGGACAGTTACCCTGCGCTTGCAGTTCCAGTTCAGGAACTCCAAATATGTTTTGAACTTGTGTTTTTTAATTGGTATTTGTACCTAGAAGCACCTAGTTTTTATGACTTCTGTATTCTGAGTTCTGTATCGGTTGAGATCATGCAGTAAAATGTTAGTAACACTATGAACAGATTATTAACAAAGAATAAGCAAAAGGAACTGCAACAGAAACAAAATCGTCTTATCAATCAGCACTAAAATATTTAATTGAAAGATATGAATAAATGCTTTTTTCAATTAATGATGTATTTGCATTATAGTCACTGTAGGTTGTTCTGACTTATCACCTATTTAGAGCTTTCTTTCACTCTGTTTAGATATATTGATAATGAAACTGGAAGAGTAATGCACGATATTGTTACTAAGGATTCCTATGGAAGACAATTTGAAGCAATTCAGCATTGCTTTAGAAGTATAGGATTCACTGATGAGGTAAGATATCCAGTTGCTAAACCACTGTTGACCTTCCTGAAACGACCTCCAGTGTTGATTGTGCTTAGGCTCCCACTTGGCTGTGTGAATATACAGCATGCCACAGAATCTCTCTTATAACAGAAATGAATTATGAAAGTAAAACCAAACACCTGGAAGCCAGGACCAGTCACAGCTCTCAGTTTGTATTGAGGCAAGTCCACTCACATTTCTGTAGAATCTTCTTTCTGTGTAAATAACAACTTCCTTCAATTAGAACTAGATCTTTGGACAATCTACAAACTTTAATCACCATCCAATGCTCACCTTTTTCTTTCATAAACTAAGTTTTATGTACATATTTGATTGGATTCCTTGAGGGTGCTTTTTGTCATTTTTACAGGAAGTGTATTCAGTGTACAGAATTCTGACTGGTATCTTAAATACTGGAAACATTGAGTTTGCTGCCATTTCTTCACAACACCAAACAGATAAAAGTGAAGTTCCAAACCCAGAAGCCTTAGATAATGGTAACTACATTTTAACATAATCAACTCTACAAATGCCATTGGACTGTATTTGTGAGAATCTGTAACTTGTGGTAACAGGCTATGCTAGTGATGTCCTCAGAATAGTCATAATTTATATATATATTCCACACTGTCTTTCAGCTGCTGCACTGCTAAGTATTGGGTCAGAAGAACTGCAAGAGGCCCTAACCTCCCACTGTGTTGTAACACGGGGGGAGACTATTATCCGAACAAACACTGTGGACAAAGCAGCTGACGTGCGAGATGCCATGTCTAAAGCTCTTTATGGCAGACTCTTCAGCTGGATCGTAAATCGCATTAATACGCTTCTTCAGCCAGATAAAAATATATGGCAAGTTACACATCACTGAATCATTTGTATTTACTGTGCATCTGTCTTTGATGGGTTCATCCATTTGTATATTTTTTGATTTTGCAGAAGAAATACTGTGTTTATTTTAGCTAAGACTTCAAAATGACTTTCATGCTGTGATACTGTATTCTGTTTCCAGGACATTAACCCAACATTCTCAAAGAACTGAGTGAAATTTAGCTACTGAAGTCAATGAAAATTGATTATTAAAATTATATAAAATTCTTTAAATAGATGCTTTGCATGTAGAGAACATTAAGATCATACCAATGGCCAGTAAGTATTTGAAGTGCGCTGAAAACATTAGTATGTTTGCAGAGTCCTTCCAGTACTTCTGTCATTGTAATTTAGTTGTAAATACAGATCGAGTTGTAATTGATGGTGTTTTCATCGTCAGATAGTGATCTGGTTGCTTTGCTCCTTTCCTGTAGAGATTTCTAAAATAGGAGAACCCCGTAGGTTATGTAAAAATGTCTTTACTAACTACAGTGCTCTTGCTTCCATGCTGGGAGACTGGATAAAGCAAGGAGGAAAACAGTGCTTCAGTAGGACATAGAATATGCGGAATAATTATTGCAAATATAACTTAAGGATGCTAGTTCTGAATTCCACTAGAGGTAATTTCACTCATCCTTGACAGTGCTGAGATAAAGAAAGGTATCTTCAGAGTTTTTAGACCTACAGTTCCCCTTCATTGCACTGAATATAAACAGTTGCTATTTCTGACTGTAACCTGAGTCTCTTTGTCTTATGCAGGAGCCGAAGTGAGAAGTTTAGCATGTAGCATTCTGCCTTTCACAGCATGTCTGCATGACATGTGTTGTTATGTACAGACAGACTGTGAATGAACCTATGTATTGCATTATTAGTGTAATTCTGTGCCCAGGCTCTAAGTTAATAGGTTGTACTTTTTCTTGTCTTAGAGATAGCTTGGAGATCCCTACTTTTACTTTCTTATACCCTGGAGAAACACAATCCACACTTGTACTTCCAGTGATTACTGTTGTCTGAGTGTACATAACCTAGCAAGCTAACACATGATGTTTTAATAATCCTGCTGTAGCAGCAGCAGATTTGGTAATTGTCTTGCTGACTGGGTGTAGCAAAAACATGCTAATAGAGCTTGGCACCTTTCCTTTACCTGGAGGATCTGTGAGTAGGTTTGGTTCAGGGTGTGTTTATTGAAACCACTTATTTTATTTCTGAAGTCTGTTATTCAGTAGTTGTGATTCTCTTTTTCTTCTTCATGGGAGTTTGTAAAAGACAAGCGGAAAACCCAAAGTGTTAATGATTCTCAACAAACTGTTATAAATTCAAATACACTTTTTCTTCTATGTTTTTGCAGCAAATTGAATTGATTGTGCCATCTTAGTCACCATGTTTATTTTGATTGTAACTAGATGTTGCCCATACTGAATTCTGTTTAACTTTTCACATGCAGCAGTACTGAAAATGGAATGAATGTTGGTATACTAGATATATTTGGATTCGAGAACTTCGCAAGAAATTCCTTTGAACAGCTGTGCATAAATATTGCTAATGAGCAGATCCAGTTTTATTTCAATCAACATATTTTTGCACTTGAACAGGTAAATAAAGCTCTCATGAAGTTTAGTTGAATCTGTCATCTTGACCCATAGATTATATTCAGGAATACATTATTAACTATAAAGTGGTTGTGGGATTTAAATGTATGTAATGTTCACATCTTTCAGCATAGTTGTTGCTGTTTTGTAAATAATGTTGTGGGGCCTATAGATTATTCCTATGCATCATAAATGTCCTAGTGGTTCAATATTAAAACTTTGTTGATTTTGTAGATGGAATATCAGAATGAGGGAATTGATGCTGCTACAGTGGAGTATGAAGACAATCGTCCACTTCTAGATATGTTCCTCCAGAAACCCATGGGTCTCCTTTCTCTACTAGATGAAGAAAGTCGATTTCCTCAGGCAACAGACCTAACATTAGTTGGTATGAGCAAACAAAAGTCCTGGCAAACAACTAATGTATTTTGAGAGTCTGATGTGATATCTTTACTTAAGCTTTTCTGGTCTAATTGTCCTACTGAGGCTGTACCATTTTGTTTGACGTTTTGAGTGTATTTTTCATTATGCTTCACCGTGCTTCTATGCTTCACATGTTTTTTATATTGCAGAAGTTATTTTGCATATATTGTGTCAAGAGCTTGTCTTTTCAATGTTTTAAGGAAATAACCTCTGTGTTGTCCCTGTACATGAGGTACATCAAGAGGCTTTTATCAGCATTTAAAAGGAAAAGCTGAGACATAGCTGAACTTGTGTCTAGGACCACCCTGTGAGTTATCATTAGTGTTGAGAGTAAAACTAAGATCTCCCAGGATTGTAGGCCCATGTTTATCCAATTAGAAAATATTACTTCACTGCAGATTATCTCATCATAACTAGAAAGTGTGTGTTATTTTTTGTGTGCCATCTGGCTGAATATTTCCCTTCCTTCATGCATAGTTTACGCATGTCTTAACAAATCTGGCACAAACTTTAAAACACATAGTGCATGTTATGTTTAAAAATGTTTTCCTGCTTTCATTTACTAGAACTTCATATTTCCTTGTAGTACGTAACAGAATTTCAGTTTGTTCAATCAAACATTGCAGCAGGGATTCAAACACTTAAAGAAAAATTACAACTGCCTGGTAAATTGCATGATATACGTACAAGATTTTTCACTTCTGGGCTGCAACTTGAAATGAGGCCAAAGGATGGTTTCATTCCAGTCCTTATTTGTGTGCTAAAGCTGTGAGCCTCCCTGGGGATTCTATGAAACTGTTAATCTCAAATATTGAACTGCACTTTCAAAGTGTCAAGGAGACAGCAACTGAGATATTTTGCCCACTCTTTATGTGCCAGATTATCACTAATTCCCACCCTCCCAACTCGAAATCTGCCCCCTCTCTTGTACTGCAACCTGCTCACGTTCTGAGTTTAATTCTTTTTGATTTAATTACAAGGATTCTCAAACTCAATTAAACATTAATAGAAAGAAAACATAGAAAGAAAATTATTAGAAAGAAAATAAAATGTTAATGGATTATAATATCAGAAAAAAAAAAATTTTGTAGTAATTTCTGACCTACATAAAGCGAAAGATAATTTTGTCTGATGATTCTGGCCGTGAATTTCTAGTTGCATGTGCAGATAAGGAAATACAATACCAAGTTTTACAGTATCAGCACTAGTTCCTTTTTTCTGTCAGCTCTTCAGAGGTATGTTGAAAGAAACAGAAAAATTTTAGAGAGGTTTTTTTTTTTTTTTTTTTTTTTTTTTTTTTTTTTTT